TAATTTAAAAGCCTAACAAAAATCATTAAAAACATTCATTGAATTTTTATGTACTGCGAGGCAGTAACTGTCAAGATACACTGTCAAGTGAAAAATGGCAAAAGTGTCTACAATTTATCTAGGAAGGAGGTGACAAAAAATATGTACATGTATTTGTTTATATTGTTAAAGTAAACCATTGGGAGAATAAGCTGAACACAAAAACAAACAAAATTCTTTAAATAGGTAAGAAAAGAAACAGGGTAGAGAAGACAGAAGGTGAACTTCTCAGAACATACTTCTGTAGATTTGATTTTGTAAAATATTTTACATAATTCTGAAACAAAATTAAATTTTTAAAATTCCAAAAAATTGAAAACAAAGTGGAACAAATGCTAACAGAGGAGTCATGTGTTGGTATAGCTGTACAGAGAGAAATGATTTCAGCACATTCTGAAACCACTATTTACCTGTACATCCCTCGAAGGATATACCCAGGAACAAAAACAACTGCAAAACCACCACCACTACCATCACCACCACCACCACAACTAAACTCTGTATTCAGTAATCACACTGTTGGTGGTAGTGTTGATATGGTTATTGTTAGACAGTTATGTGAGTACTACAGGACAAAGCTTGTGAGTATTTTTTTAAGGGTTTTTTTTTTTAATTTTTATTTATTTATGTATGATAGTCACAGAGAGAGAGAGAGAGAGAGGCAGAGACACAGGCAGAGGGAGAAGCAGGCTCCATGCACCGGGAGCCCGATGTGGGATCCAATCCCAGGTCTCCAGGATCGCGCCCTGGGCCAAAGGCAGGCGCTAAACCGCTGCGCCACCCAGGGATCCCCCAAGCTTGTGAGTATTGATGTTGGGTGACTGGGAACTGGGATTTTCAGCGTGAAAGAAAGAAGTTATGGGTGTTAAAGGTGGGTGATGGGTGTATGTGAGGGTATTATACTCTTCTCTCTACTTTTTTGTATTATGCTTGAAATATGGTGTAATATAACATTTCCGTAACAGAGTTGAAACAAAACAACTCATCAATCCCAATCTTTGATGACAGCTCTCAGGTTAATTTCTCATATTATCAAATGGTCATGAATTTGGTACAGGTGATAGTACGCCCTGTTTCCCTGCAGGTTTTCTTTGAGTGAAACAACTGGATGGCATAGCAATTTTCTAAGGAACTTCAACTGTATAATATGATCATCATATTGAACAGGGTATGTTCAAATTTGGGCTCCATGAGGGGGCAAGGCAAAAACATCACGGCTCTTCAAAATCCTAAAAGTGTGCTTCTTCTCACAGTTCCTATGCCTCTGGCCCCTCTTGCTAAATACTTCCTCCCCACACGTATGCAACTTCTGCACGTTCCTGCAATCGTTTTTACAGCCCACTTATGAAGAATTATTAATACATAGATGAGATGGTCTCCACCATCCAAGGGGATGCTTGTCTCATGCTACTTTCTGAAGTTGGAGGTGCGAAAATTTGGCATTATAACACTATTAAAAACTGTTTTTATAAATAGCAAACATTCTCACTTGAGAATCATTTTCTTAGAAGAGTGGTTTTCAAACTTCAGCATATAACAGTATTACCCAGAAAACTTATTAAGAAAACAGGTTACTGCATCTTGTTCTCAGTGTTTCTGAATCAGGTCCAGTTTGAATCCCAAGAATTTGCCTTTTTAACAAGTTCCTAGATTTGTTAACTTGGAGACTGGAGACTACATTTGAGAATTATTATCTGAGAACATATATGAAAATCTGTGTCCCTTGCTTCCTCCTAAGAACAAAGCCCCCTGATACTTTCCATATAAAAGCTCATAATATCCCCCTTTCTTTGATTTATATTTATCCCTTTGAACTCGTGATGTCTTCTACTGTTTATTACATAACTATTTTCTGAAATTATCCTTAAAATGACACTTACTCAGAAATGTTCCCTATTGGCTTACAGGTGGCATTTTGTACCCTTTTCCCCTAAAAACAGACTAATTTTGGCTCTTTCCTCTTGCTCCCTTCTTCCAATCCTCTATTCCTTCAACCAAACTGAAAAGAAGCCAGGAATAACCATAAAAAGATGTTACTATGTGCTGTTTTCACTAGCATATAATTTCGTAGAAGATAGTAGCCTTCTGGCTTTATTATTGCTTTTCTTTTCCATCATGTTGTGGGCATTTACCTATTATTATCTGAAAATAACAAGGCCTGATGTCTATTAATATTTATAGAATTCAAAGTCCTGCTACAGGGTAGGCATTCAATCCATTTTTGTCAAATAAAATATTTCAATCACAGGATCTCAGAGACAACTGATGTTTGGGGAACCTAAGTGATGTACACAAGGTCACAAAGTCTGTTATTGCAAATGCCAGAATGCTATAATCTGTATCTCATGATGCCCACCCAGCCTGTTGTACCACTTACCAGTTTTATCAGAATATGTCAACAGGGCCTAAAGTGAGACAAGATAACTCTAAAGTAGCATAGGGCTAAATACCTACAGAATACTCACAAAATTCTCAATGAGGGTAGTGAATGCATTTATCATGGACAATAATTTTTTAACACCATATTTTGCTTTACATGCTCTGAACTTTTCAGATTTCTTTACAAGGTGTAGAGGGGAGGTCAATATTCTAGAAAAAAAGTAAGGAAAAGCCTACAAAATGCAGAAACACATTCCGATGGAATTGGTCCTCTAGCCCTGAACAAATTATCATAATACAGAAATCCACACCCTAGGCTTACTCCCGTACAGTACTCCCGTACTGCATGATGATGGCTAAAACAATTAACACAGCCACAACTGTTGGTACCAGGTCATCTTCAGGGTCTGCTCCTTCTAGATACAACTAGATTTAAGGGAAAGGAGAAACAACCACTTGGTAGCTGTTCACTATGTTCTAGGAACTACCAAACAGGCTCCTTTCAATTATCCTAGGAGATAGACATTATTATTTCCATGATAATTAAGAGTAAGTTAAGCTCTGGAGTTGCATGGCTAGGGTAAACGGACAAGTCCAGATGCAAACTCAGGTCTGTCTGCCCCCAGGTCACGCTTCTAGTATCTGAGACAGGATTACCTCTACCATCTACTTCTCCATTCTATAAAGATGGAAGCTGTTCTCTTCCTGTTTAATTTATTTTGGCTTCTATCATCAGCAAAAAGATTTTTAACCGCAGGATAAATTCATTGAAGATTTTTTGACCCTGAGTGCAGCATATCTTTAAAAGCTGACAAGTAATGAAGTGTAAAGCTAGGCTCATTAAAAATAGGAAGTCACAAACGGTGATGGAAGACTTGTCTGATTTTTCCCTTGATGCAAATACCTGAATTGATGACCCTAACCCTTTGGCCTCATGAGTGTGGTAAGACTCCTCCAAGAAACCCAAGAGGGCCAGAACACAAGTGACCCTTTCCTCATCTTACCTAGGATCTGGGACAGCCCAATGTGGAGGAAGGCTGGTGGCACAATAGATGACAACACGTTTTCTAGGCTGAAGGAGGGAGGAATGGAGAGGGAAGAGGCTGCCCCCCAGAATTTAAATGGGGCCGCCCTTGTAGCAACAGTATTATTAAGGAATCAACAGAAGGGTATCGCTTCCCTTTGCTTATGGTAATGTTTCAAAACGCTATCCTTCTCCAATAGACCTACATGGAAGAAATTCAATCTGTGAAATAATAATTTGCACACTACTGCCATTTGCTCTGAAATCCTCTTCACTGCAGCAACTTAAAGCCAATCTTGTAATACATACTCTGTAGAAAAACAAACAGCAACAACAAAAAGCCAACTTCCTTTAAAAATCTCTAAAGTATCCGCTAACACATCAAAAGTCAAATCTCTAGCAACAGAATTTAAATTCTGAATTCTATTGTTCCTTCCTGGTCATTCATCCCAAACCTCAAGTTTTTTTTTTTTTTAATGACAGCAAAACATTAATGATTATGCTTCTCAAGTATTAAGGTTCACTCCTGGTGGAGCAGGACGGCACACAGTTGGCAGGGTATTGACAAAGGCTATCGGTCAGATGGCCATGCGCGCAGATTCTTCACATGCACCTGTCGGGCTCGTGAGGGGTGTCACTCATGTTTGGACACCAGAGTCCATCACCACAGTAAGTGAGAACACAGATAACAGGACCCTCTTTGTCACTCTGCTCAAAGTTTAATTAACATGCCCCTGCAATTTATTTTGAGCAGAAAGATAATATATATATTTAAACAATCGTGGAACTGTGCAGCAAGATAAATATCGCTTCTCTTTTTTCCGTATGTAAAGTCATTGCTGCATACTTTTTTTTTTTTTTTGGAGTGCTTAACAATTGTGTTGGAGAAAGGCCATCAAATGATGCTTAGAAATGTGATACACATTTTCATTTCACACTCCATCAGCTTTTACAACTGTAGCTCAATGAAATGTAAGAGAGAGGTTGGCAAACAGCCATATTTACACCAAGGTATAAAAGAAGGGTCAGGTTACTTTTTTAGAGGGAGAAAAAAAAATTGTTTAATTTTCACTCCACATGACTAAAGCAGAATATTCAATGAACGCCCTAGAGAAAGGCACCCAACCGCCCACACTGCCACGCTGTAGTAGTGCATGTTTAACTGTAGGTTTTTACTATATTATAAGCAGCTTTGTAAAGCAAGGGAATCTTCCTTTCCTTACCGCCCCCCTTCCCTTGGGATCTACTGACACAGAAACATACGAGATCAGATGATGTTCAGTGTTCAATCTTACACCTGAAAATAATGCCTTTTGCCCTCTGCTTCTAGCATTGAAGCAGGGACACCTTATTCCCTCTACAGGCAGAGAAGCAAACCTAAGGCATCAGCAAAAATGCATCTTTCTAATTCAGATTGCAATCTGTCAGAAGGGATTAAAGCCTCATGCATACATAAAAAGGGAACTATAAATGATAACAGAAGCGCGGTCTGGAATCACTGTGCTTCCACAGCTGCTGTTTTAGCAGAAGGGTAGAGAGAAAAGCATCTTTTACTCACCTCTGTTAAACCTGAGACTTCTCCCTTTGCTAATGGTTTGCTGATGGAAGGCGTGTATACTTTGGTGTCTGATACTGGCTGCCCTTTCATAAAATGTTTGCCCGATTCGTAAATGTCCACTTCGATCATTTTCCCCATGAATGTGGGGTTCTTTGGCACTAAAACCTTTAAAAGACATTTTCAAAAGGCTTAATTTAAGAAAAATAATAAACTTTTGATTTTAGAACACAGTTTTAGATTTATAGAATTACTGCAAAGAAAGCAGAGGCTTCTTGGATACCTCGTGCCCAGTTTCCCTAGTTATGAATATCCTACATGAGTATGATATGTTTGTCACAATTCATGAACCAATATGGAGCTATTTCTATTCACTGAAGTCCATTCTTTATTCAGATTTCTCCAGTTGTCCCTTAATATCTTTTCTTCTGTTCTGAGATCCTACCCCCAGTCGGCTCTATCTTCCAGCTGCTCAAGGATCTGGAGATCCTGTAGGCTGGGAAGGCATTTCTGGGAGGAGCTACGGGCCTGGAGACAATGCTCTTTGATGGCGGGACGCCTGCTGTCCAGAGGCATGTGGCAGGCAGACCCGGGGAAGCCCCCAGCCATCAGCCAGTCACTTCTGGACAGGCCTTTGATATTCTGCTCTCGGCTGTCCCAGGCAATGAAGAAAACTGAGACAACTCTGATGAAAGCCTTATACTTTTAATACCTGCCAAGTCAGCTGTCAGAAGAACGAGGCCTGCTGGTTCGTGTGTATGTGAGCGCGTGTATGTGGGAGCGTGGGCATGTGACTCGGAGGGGGCAGAGGAAGAACGTTTAAAAGCGACCCTTTAGTCTCCCAAATTTGTTGTTTTGTAGCTAAATGACTCCTTTGCTCTGTCATGAAATGCATATGTTTGGTTTGTTGCCTCTACCTACACTTAGGATCAGCTGCTCTGAAGGCTGCTTTGGTGAGTTCACAGGAAACTGTCAGCAGCCTCTCACCACTGGAGATTTCTGGTAAAAGTACCTGTTTACATCGAGCAAATGCCTCCCTCCTTCAGAGGTGGCTTGGCACGTAGTGTGTCTCCCCCACGCTTCTGTTTTCCTTCTGCAGCTACTCGCCAGTCTTCAAGTCAAGATCCAAAATAAATAGACTAATTCTAATCCAGTAATACTTTGATACCTAGATGAAATCTTCACTTCTGGAACTCATCTTATTTAGAAAAATCATGCCTCTGAAATCCTTGATATGCTTAGTTGTACAAACACGTCAGGGGAGCTAGAGTACCACAGCCAATTTCTCTGGGAGGCAGAAATGGATCTTGGTCTTTCTGGGTTTGTTTTTTTTTTTTTTAATGACCACTGCGTACACTGCCTCATCAAAGCATAGGAAAAAGGTCACCTGGGTAGTGAATTACTCCCAGCAAAGAGCTTTAGTATCAGAATATGAAAGCCCCTTTAAATCGTTTTGTTTGTTTGTTTTTTGTTTTTTTAATAAAACAAGAAAATCTCTAGAAATCTCTAGAGTAAACTATCTCTGGGAGATGTGGTCCCATTCTGGGGAAATATAGCTCTGCTGCCTTGATCTGAATGAAGGGCTCAGTGTTTTTCCCCCTCCAGTTTTAATAATTGGAAAAAGCCGGACTGCTTTAAATTGGAGGAAACAGCTAATGAGGCATGCCATCGCCTTTAAAATGCAGGGGAAAAAAGCTCCCTGCTGAGGCAAGAACCCAGATGGCAGAGAAACAGAGGGGGAAGAGGCCACGAAATACAATCAGGTTCCTCCCCAGTGCTGAGCAGGTTGGCCCGAAGAGGTTGGTTCTCTGGGGCCAAATAATGAAATGGAGAATGGGGAAGAGACGTGGCTCTGGCAGGGAGTGCTGGGGAAGCCTTCCTCAACAGTAGTACTCTGCGGGTATGGGATAGGGTGCATTTAGTTTGAGCCTTCAACACTGCCCCCCATGTTTCCCCAGGTTCCAGGGCCCAGGCTGGGACCATTCCCTGTGCAGTGGAGAGGGAGATCTCTGCAGCTACTTCCCCAAGGGCAGTGGGCATTGGCTTCTCCCCCAAGGGCAGTGGGCTTCCCTCACTTGCCCACCCAGCCCTGAAGAGGCTTTTCGGGCTCTAATTTCAGCCCTAGCTCACAGAAAAAAAAAATTCATTTCTCATCTGATGAGAAAGAAACAAAAAAGTAGGAAAACACATTTGATATTTAGGATAAGTTCATCAGGTCCAGTAATGATCAGGATATCCCTATGTCCCTAGGGGAGTCTCCCATTGAGGAAGGCAGATGCCATTGCTTCCTGGGCCTTTTCGGGGCCACTGCCCTTGAAGGAGGCAAGGAGTTTTCTTTCATCACTTCTGAACTGCTCCCTGACCTGGGGAAGTGGGATCCCAGGCGCTGCAAGAAAGCCCGGCAGGCCAGGTTCCACGGGCAGGGCATGGCTGTGAATGAGAGGGGTCCCTAGGCGCGGCCCCCTAGTAAGACTCTCAAAGGGAAGCTGTTTTGCCCCGTACTTGTCTCCAGGGTTGGTCATATGATTCGAGTTGAATCCACAGAACTGACTCTTTTCCCTTGGCCTCCAACATTCTTATCAGGGTGGAAGTTAAGAAAAACAAAACAAAACTAAACAAAAAAACACCTAAAACTAAACAAAACTAAAAAATAATAATAATAATAATAATAATTTAAAAAAGCAAGCAACTGCCCGACCACCTGAGTGAGTGCAGGGAGGAGAGGAAATCCCTGCCCTTCCACGCTGATGTCTCAGACATCCTTCCTGTGCCCTGCACAGGCCTCTCCCCTCCCCTCTGCCAGCCGGTGGGAATTCCTTCTGGCAGCGGTAACTACCTGTTCCCGATGCCCAAAGCCTAAGGCTGGTCCCAGCAAAGATTCATGAGGAGGAAGACACCCTTACTCCTCTGTGTGGGGTGTTTGGTAGACTAAGCCACGAAGCGGAGCCCCTGGTGGCCTAGCTGGCTTGATGCTCTGCAACAGCCTTGATGCAACAAGACTCTACAACCTCCCTAAAGTTTCTTTTGCTTAAAGTGATCTACCTCACCGCCTTTCCTCACTTTGGGGAAAGCTTAAGAAGGTCAAAGTGTATCTCACCTGCTCATAGAATCGATTGTGTGCCACATAAAACTTGGAATCAAAAGATTCTTCTGTCACTAACACTTGTTGCCTTTCGCCAATCTGTGGAGAAAAAAAAGGAAAGATAAGGGCAAACACCGGAGAATCCAAACCAAAAAAGCCAGCCCAAAGAGTCGTGGGTCAGTAAGCAGTGTCCTCTTGGATTCAAAGTAGACTCTCAATTGCAAGTTACTTAATAGCTAATGTAAGAACTACGAATTCAAATTTCCCCAAGAGACATTATTATGTGCTAATATAAAATGAGCATAGCATGAAATCTTATTTTCTTACACAACTATGAAACAAAACTTATCTTCCTCCTTCAACATAAGATAATTAAAGCTTCGAAGACATATAAAAATCTTCTAAGTATCACTGTTGTGGTTTCCTGAAGCAACGTTGCAAAACAAGCCAGAACAAGCTGCTTCTAATCCAAATTCATGAAAATATTTTGGCAATAGGAAAGAGTAGTAATAAACATTAATTTGAGTTATGAGGGATGTAACGCTAAAGAAAGTGCCTCAAAAACTAGTCATTAAGTCCTTGCATCTAAACACTTCATGTATTGCATATAACTCTGAAATTATGGATTAATTCCTACAGCTATTTACTTATTATATACATTGCCTCTCTCATATACAACTGTCTCTTCTTTCTTGCAGCCATGACCCCGTCCTTCATTATTTTATTTTTTATTTTTTTAGAAAGACAGCAAAGATACGGAACTGTTAATTCTCTACAGGATCGATCTACATTTATGTTCTAAGAGTGCAACTTTAATAACCAAGAAGTTAAATCAACCAAAACATTGGTTAAAGAAATATGACTACTTGAAAAAATTCCACCATTTCCAAGTTTGGTCCACTGTGAAATACAACATTTAAAGTATCAATTACTTCTTTTTTAATTTTTTAAACAAGGTTGTCGAAATGTGTGATGTAGTAGCAACTAGCTGTACTGAATGGTTGTGCCTAGAATTATTTTTGCCTTTGCTACTTGATAAATACAACTCTGTATTAAAGCATGCTGAGGGGATCTCTGGGTGGCGCAGCGGTTTGGCGCCTGCCTTTGGCCCAGGGCGCGATCCTGGAGACCCGGGATCGAATCCCACGTCGGGCTCCCGGTGCATGGAGCCTGCTTCTCCCTCTGCCTGTGTCTCTGCCTCTCTCTCTCTCTCTGTGACTATCATAAATAAATAAAAATTAAAAAAAATAAAGCATGCTGGTAAGAAGATTTCAAAGAAACAGTCCCTATTCTCATATATAGACTTGTCACCATGTTCAGGCAGTTAGCATTTAGGAAACGTAAACACAGCTGTGCCAAACAGACCACCTAACAATTAAAAATAAAACAAAAAAAATAAAACAAAACACTAAACTCCCCTCTCCATCATACAATGCCAATACCTAAACACACCATCATTTACTATCTTTCTTACTATCTCCTTCAAAACGTGGTCCCCTTAGCTGAAGGTCATAAGGTCTCCAGGACGATAGTTACCAACAGCTTCCTTCACTCCCCCCAAACCAATGACCCTTCCTGCAACAGGAGTCCCTTTTAACAATCAAGCAGCAACTAAGGAAAGTCTCCCCAATTTTCTACTTTGAATGGGAACGGCTTTGTTTATTTAAAAAGACTGATGAATACTGGTTTTCACTGAAGTATATTCTTCTGGAGGAAAACTGAGCATGTTTGTACACATTTCACAGTGTGAGTTGCTTATAACTTAGGATAAGTATCTGTCGATGGTTCTTAAGGAAATCTGCAATTATACTTCATCTCACATTAAGTTTTCGGGAAATTAACCTAGCAACAATATGAGATTGTAAAGCTGCTTCTTTGCTCTTGCGAGAATGAAAACGGACAGCTGCAGACATCACTGTTGGGCTGTTCTAGTTTACCTGGAGGTAAGGGCCGTGATTGTAAGATATACACAGAGTCTGAAGGACCTGTGTTATGTTTGTACAGTAGCGGGCAGGGCTTTTGATCAACCAGCAGAAGAATATTTGTAGGTGAGTATTTAACCATTTGCTGCCAGGATACAAGAAAATGGCTGTGTGCAGTGATTTATGGTGGTAAACATCTCTCCAGTTGTCCCTTCAGTCCCCTCAGCTAAGGATTCTGCATCACTGGTGAGGCTCTTAAAGTTCCTCAGAAGACACTAAGCAAGAATGCGCATAAGAACGCTAGGACTTTGATCAAGAGCTGCCCCAATCTATCCCAACCCCCTTAAAAAAACAACAAAAACAAATAATAACTGCTCCCCTCAATATTTTATTTTTTTTTAAGAATGAAGTTGCCACGAAGTGGATATCAAACCTTTAAGAGAATCAACTATTTCCGGTAACTAAAAAAACCAGTGATGTTAAGGAAGGTTAGGGGGAAGGGGCGGTTCAGGTGGAACTCTGAAGAGGCAACTTTGCCTTGGTGACAGCAAGGGACCTTGTGGGCCAAGGGTTTGTGCATAGGCCTCAATCTTTTTCTAAATGAGCCACCTTGCCCCATACTTTGCAACTCCTCAACCCCACAGGATAGATAACCCAGCATGGTTAACGACCCACATACAAGAAAAAAGGTTTAGGGTAATCATCCTGATTCGCCTAAGAATTTGCCTAACCAGCAAGGATGTGCCGGTCTGTGAGGAAAAGCAGGCTATCTGGAGAAAAAGGGTAAAGCTACAGATATCCATCCTTAGGCCAGTAGGACAACAACCACAGCCGAGCTATCTATTGTGCTAAAGGCGAGGAGAATCCACTAGTAGGGATGAGTTTGTCTTCCCAGTGGAGAATGATGGAGAGTATGCTACGTCTCATCTGATCTGCAGTATCTATATTCATCTGACATTCTGATATTCTTCTCTGGTTGCCTTACCATCACTGACAGGAGTGCAAGGTTATATCCCTGGCTTTAGACAAGCCCTTTGCAGAAGAAGTTAACACAAAGATGACTTGGGTAGTTTTTGTATGTTTGTTTTTTAAAGATTTTATTTATTTATTAATGAGAGACACACACAGAGAGAGGCAGAGACACAGGCAGAGGGAGAAGCAGGCTCCATGCAGGGAGCCTGATGTGGGACTTGATCCTGAGTCTCCAGGATCACGCCCTGGGCCAAAGGCAGGCGCTTAACTGCTGAGCCACCCAGGGATCCCATGACTTGGGTAGTTTAAGAAACCAACAAACTCCTAAGAATATGTAAGAGGCTGAAAATGAAGTTTTTTCATGAAGATTGTGACTAGTAGCACAAATTAAGATGCTAGTGGAACTGCAAACCTAGAGAATGGTCTGGAGGCAGCATCAGGATAGCTGGAACATTCAAGGAGAGGAGAGAAGGGGTCACTTGGAGGGAAGAGGGATGGTCAGAAACAGGGTGCCAGAGTTCTAGCAGAACCTAGGAAAGAGGAGTCTCAAACAAGGAGGATTATTTAAACACACCAGCTGCCCCATGTTTGAAGCAGATGCTAGGGGGAGGACATGGGTCTGAGTAGATTATTTTTAAGATAAAAGAGATGTGACTACTTTTTGGTCCTTCACATTCCTCGCCACAGAAAGAAGAGGTTGGTGAAAGTGGCCAGACGTGGGAAAGGGAGAGGTGGGCTGAAGAGGAAGTGGGTTATAATATTTAAAGGACCTCATTATTCATTCATGAGAGACAGAGAGAGAAAGAGAGACAGAGACATAGGCAGAGGGAGAAACAGGCTCCTTGCAGGAGCCTGATTGGGACGCGATCCCAGGACCCCAGAACCACAACCTGAGCCGAAGGCAGACTCTCAACCACTGAGCCATGCAGGTGCCCCCAGGTGACTATATGCTTAAAGCCTTCTGCAAATTACAACAGTTACTGTCTTGCTGCATTTAGAGGAGTGTGATCTCTAATACCCACCACAGATATATTTACAAAGTCTACCAAAAGCTGTCCTGTGACCTGAACCTAAAGAAGTCCATCAAAAATCTTTTCAACAAAGCCCTTGTTTCATAATCCTAAGAAAGATAACTTCTTTCTGATTTGTTTTACAGGGATATAATTTACAGTTGGTTAATGAAAATGCTTATTTAACTTCTTCAATGTTTTTGGGTTTAGGAACTTGGGATGGGAAGTTAAGAATTATTGTGGGAGGGGCACCTGGGTGGCTCAGTGGTTGAGCATCTGCCTTTGGATCAGGTCATGATCCTGGGGTCCTGGGATCGAGTCCCATTCGGGCACCTGCAGAGAGCCTGTTTCTCCTTCAGCCGGTGTCTCTGCCTATGTCTCTGTGTCTATCATGAATAAATAAAACCTTAAAAATAAAAAAGAAAAAGAATTGCTGTGGGAAATTCAGTTTCCTTTTACGAAGTCTGACCCTTAGGACATTTATCAGGATTTCTGCAAGTGGCGGTCAGTCCTGGTACCTGCACTAATGAATTAGGCCTATTTTGTCATTTCTTCCTCAAATGTCCATGGAGAAAGCTGTTTTTCTTAGATTATGCACAACTTCAGTTAGTCCATTTTAACCTAGCTTTAAAAATATGTTTTATGAAGGGCCTCTGGCTGGTTTGGTCAGAAGAGCAAGATGACTCTTTATCTCAGGGTAGTAAGTTCGAGCCCCACACTGGGTGTAGAGATGACTTAGATAAATAAAACTTAAAAAAAAAAAAAAAAGATGTCTTGGGCAGCCCCGGTGGCCCAGCGGTTTGGCGTCAACTTCAGCCCAGGGTGTGATCCTGGAGACCTGGGATCGAGTCCCACGGCGGGCTCCCTGCATTGAGCCTGCTTCTCCCTCTGCCTATGTCTCTGCCTCAATCTCTCTCTCTCTGTATCTCTCATGAATGAATAAATAAAATCTTTTTTTAAAAAAAGATATCTTAAGAAAAATGAATTATAAAGACAGTCTTGTGAAACCATTCTTCCATTTCACAGAATGCATCACCAAAGTGAGGTGAGGTGTAGAAAAAAAGGACTCATGAGATCCTGCATTACTGGTGACCTCACTGTGGATAAGAAAGAATGCACAGGCCTTGTTGGAAAGGTAAGAGAAAGGGTCTTACGGTTAGTTATTTGTTTATCCATAAAGGCTGGAAATGAAGGC